AAATCTCTGTAAATGTTCATTAAAATTAATGAAATTTTAAAAAAAGTATAAGTATTATGTAAAGTTACAAAGATAACGAGGAATAGTAATAAAAGGATTATTCTTCTCTGAGAAGACAAAGTGAATGTAGGAGGAATGAGGGATATAATTTTTTCACTACCTGTCATTAAAAAAATTGGTTAATTAAATGTTCTTTTATTTTAAAGACTAATAAAGTCCTTAATAGCTAAAGTGGAGGCAGTTGCTTGTTTATACTTTAAATAAATAATTAGCCCACAAAACGAAGGGTCTACACTCTATCATATTTTAAAGAATGTTCTAAATGCTAGTCCTAAATACGTTGCAGTTTTTAGAGTACGTGATCTTAAAATCTCAAATTATTCCATGAAACTACATACTAACGTAAAATGAAGTAGTAATTTCATTAAAGATTAAGTCAAAATAAAACTCTGGCATCATTAAAATTATTCTTGCATTTTACTACTACGACACAAGAACTAAGGAAACCAAAATTAATCAAATTGTAAAAAGCCCTTGACGTAAGTTACAACGAAACCAATGATCTTACCTCCTTTTCTTCACCAACCTGATCCAAACTCTCATGGCTTGACGGATTATAGGGAATGACTAAAAATCCAATTGGAAACATTTTTTACAAGGAGAAAAAAAAAAGAAGATAGTAGTCATTAAAGTGTGAGATAAAAAAAGACTCTCAATTTAATTTTGTTGTTACTTCTGATTAAGTCAACATTATCTAAAATTATATACTAGTCCTAAAAATGACAAACTGTACACAGGTACAAAAGTTAAACTACAATCTTCAGTGAGGGTAAAGAGAACAAGGACCCACTTGGTCACCTGGTACTTACCGGTTTCAGAAAATATTTTTTAATCATTTCCTCTCTTTCTAAAGTATGAAACAACTCCTTTACTGATGAACCTATAAACACTATTTATTTATTTACTTTAGAGACATTCTTCACAGTCAAAACACACCACCCAGAACAATAAACAAAGAGAACTCAAAAAAGGAACGGCCTCTTGGTTACTCCCTCATCTGGCAGAAAAGCCTGTGTCACGGAATTTGCTTCTTTCAAGACCAGGAGACTTCATTCCGTCCTCCCCAAACAACCGCCTTTCCCAAAGGAAAGGGTCTGTTCCTCCTTCCACTAACCTCCAAGCTCTCCAGATAGCTCAAGTTTTGGGTAAATCTGAAATTTTAACTCACATTACCAATTTTTCATTGTCTAGGTTGCATTTTTGTATCTTCTACATAATGTCTGCCTCTAATGGTAAAGCTTGAAACAAAAACAGGTCATATGGACATCGTCATATTGGTATACTTGGCTTGTAATTTCAATTTCTAGTCTCAATACTGGTCAAAAAACCCCCCAACGATACTGCTGATTTTAAAGGGATTTCAAAAGAAATTTATATGAACAAGAGAAAAGTCATCTGTGTGAGGTTAATTCTATTTTTTTTAACAGATGCTTTAGCATTGTTGCTGATCTTATCATCGCAAAATATGGTTAAATAGTTTTATTTAGAAAGACTAAAATGCCAACACAAGAAGTCTTTGAATGCTAGTTTGTGAATGAACAACAGTTTCTCCTGGCACTATTCTTACCTGTCTGGGCATGGTCTGAATGCATGGACGACTGATCCGTGGGCATCATTGGTTCCTACAAGCATTTTCAAGGAGAAAATAAAAAACAGCTCAGTGAAATTTTTTCAAATTCCAATAGTTTTACAAATCCAGAACAAGATGTCATCTCATCCCAGCAACAATCGCCAAGTTCAATAGGGCAGCAAACAACAAACGCTTGGTGAGGTTGTGGGGAAACTGAACTCTTATTCACTGTTGGTGGGAATGTAAAATGGTACAACCGCTATGGAAGGAGGGCTCTAAAAATAGAAACACCCTGTGACCCAGCCATCCTACTACTGCGAACATAACCTAGGGGAAATCGGAGGCTTGACTCCAAGAAATACATGCACATCCATGTCCACTGCTGATTATTTATTCAAAATAGCAACGATGGAAGCAGTCCAACTGCCCATTAACAAATGAACGGACAGAAAAACTGTGGTACATTCACACACTGGACTACTATGCAGCAATGAAAAACAGCGAACTTGTAAAAACCCTTCACAACATGGGTGAGCCTGAAAACATTATGCCGAGCGAAATGATCTCCTTCACAAGAGGACAAATACTGCACAACACCACTGTTATAAAAAAGGGTTGACGGGCTGGTGAGGGAGTCGAAGGTGAAGAGTGGACAGGTAACAAACACTGCCCTGGAAGAGAGGAGGGGAAGGAAGGAGTCTATGATCAGGCATTAGATACACGACAGGAACAATTCAGAACAAGAGGTGCATTACAAAATGAACTGGGGGAGGGGGAAAGGGGCAAGGAGGAACAAGTACAACAACAATGAATGAAAGCCCAACCTTCCCGTCAACTTTCATTAAAATCTCCAAAAAAAATA